TTAAATAGATTGAAGAAGTTAAAAGAAAGAGGAACAGACCATTTAGTTACAAATTCAAAATCAATTCTTAAATTATGTTTATCTTAATATTGAAAGGAATGAACATATTATAACTTTTTATTATACGCTTTTCTTTTATTCAATGAAATTTTTTTCCGATGAACGAATCGTATAAATACTATTACGGTTTAAATACTTCAAATTAAAATTATAATACAAAATTAAAATTATATATAGAATTCAAATATTACAAAATTACAATTAAAGTCGCTAATATTTTTATTTTATATTTTCAAATTTTTTTATTTTGATGACTTAATTAAATAGATTAAAGAAGTGAAAAGAAAGAGGAACATACTATTTAGTTACAAATTAAAAATCAATTCTTAAAAACTAAAAAGATAATAAATGATTATTTAATAGATGACACATGTAATCATTTGCTACTCCTTCATAAAAATGATGTGACTCTCTCTATGAAGAGAGTCTTCTACTTTATATATATATATATATATATATATATATATATATATATATATATATATATATATATATATATATATATATATATATATATATATATATATATATATATATAAGATACACGAGTTATTGTCATATTCTCAAAAGTTACCAAAACTAAAATGAATATTAAATGTAATTTTCTACGTCACATTAAACTATAAGCTATTCATCAATTATATTATGACATTTCATATTTTTCAGGTGAAAGTAATTGTAGAGATGACATGTATAATTCATAAATAATGTCTAGGGTATATTAAGAATTAACATCTAATCTTAACAGTTTAACCAAAAAAAAAAGAATTAACATCTAATAAAATACCTACATGTAATCACAGACCAATAAATCATTATGCATTTCTAAAATTTTAGTCTTCACCCCTCACAAAAATACTTACTTCTATTTTGATGAGTCTCACATGTATTAGTATACATTTAGTTTTTGTTTCAAGCTTTCCCAACTAAAACCTACTATATTTAATATATACAGTAGAACCTCTATAAATTAATACTCGATAAATTAATAATCTCTATAAATTAATAAATTTTGTCGGTCCCAGTTTGGACCGGTTCAAAATTTGACACAAATCGATAAAATAATAAGATAATATTTTTTTGAGAAAATTCTATGTATATATATGGTCCCATTCAAATTATATATTAATAATTTCTATGTATAAATATTTTATATAAGTAAGAATCTATCACAATATTGTTTGTTTTATGTTCAAAATGAAGTTATCTTTATATTTCTTAACATTTAATATTTTTTTGTTGAGATTTAGTAATATATATCTAAAATCACATTAAAATCAATGTAATATATATTATATACACCAAATAATATAACATAAGTAATATAAATGTTAAATTTAGTAAAATAAATTAACGTTGTAAATTAAAATCAAATATTTTTCCTATCTCAGAATAAATATATCTTGTTTTCCAAAAAAAAAAAAAATATATATATATATATATATCTTAAGATAGAAAATATAAATAAAGACAATTTTATAAATTAATAAAATTTCAAAATCCTAATATTATTAATTTATAGAGGTTTTACTCGGTAGAACCTCTATAAATTAATACTCGATAAATGAATAACCTCTATAAATTAATAAATTTCGCCGGTCCTAATTTGAACCGGTTTAAAATTTGACACAAATCGATAAAATAATAAGATAATTTGAAAATTATATGTATATAAATGGTCTCATTAAAATTATAAATTAATCATAACTATGTATAAATATTTTATATAAGTAAGAATTTAGCATTATATTGTTTAATTTATGTTCACAGTGAAGTTATTTTCACATTTTCTTAACACTTAATTTATATTTGATGAGATTTAGTAATATATATATATAGATATCTAAAATCACATTAAATTCAATGTAATATATATTATGTACATTAAATAATATAATATAATATAATTAATATAAATGTCAATTTAAAAAAAAAAATACTTAGTGCTATACATTAAAATCAAATATTTTTCTTATCTTAGAATTAATATATCTTGTTTTCCAAAATATATATATATATATATATATATATATATATATATATATATATATATCTTAAAATAAAAAATTTAGATAAAGAGACTTTTGTAAACTAATATCTCTATAAACTAATAAAATTTCAAAGTCCCAACATAGTTTATAGAGGTTTTACAGTATAATTATTAAGCTCAGTATAACTAGTAAGACTAGTATAATTAGTTGAACGAGTATAATATAGTTGCATTTGTTGTATGTCACTAATTAAAATTAAAAACAAATTATAAAGTTAAAAATGTGAAAATTGGAAAATTTAAAAAACTTGAAAATTTAAATTTTTTAAGATCTCAACTTTTTTTGAAAAAAAGTTAAAAAAAAAAAATAAATAATTTTGGAAATGAATAAAGATAAAATCGAATTTTGATATTTTTATTAAATGATAGAAGATATTGAGATCTGTGAAAGATATATTGGATTTTGCTTTGTCATATGGGAACATATAGAATGATGACTTCTCTCTAATCACAACGCATCCAATTTCATATTTTTCTCTCTAAAAGTGATGTTCTTTTCTTAAAATTGGATCGTTCCATGTCTTCTTAAAGTATCTGCCTCTACCTTCTTCTGGGTTTATGCTTGAGTGCCATAACGTGAGCAATCTCTTCTCTCTTATAAAAACCCTAAGCTAGGTAAAGACTCAATCTTTCTCCTCATGTCCTATGCTTGGAACTGTTTTGTATTCAAATTAAGTTTGTGTTTTTTGTCTGTTGTACGATGTTTCTGTTGAATGTGGGTGTGGATGTTTTGAAACAGGGATAGTTGTACGATGGATCGTGTCAGCAGTTTACCAGACGACCTTCTTTGTCATATATTGTCCTTCCTTCCTACAAAGAATGCTGGGTTGCTTGGCCAACTCACCGTCTTTTCGAGCCGGATAGTATCGCCCAATTCTGCGAGTAGTCTAGGGTTTTTCCCGTGAGTAACCTAGGGTTCTTCCACGAGCAACCTAGGATTTTTCCCGCGAGTAACCTAGGGTTTTTCCCGTGAGTAACCTAGGGTTCTTTCGCAAGCAACCTATGGTTTTTCCTGCGAGTAACCCAGGGTTTATTTCGCGAGTAACCTACGGTTTATTCCGCGGTTTCTGGGAGAGCAAGTTTTGTTTTTCCAAAAAGTTCTCGGAAAACGTCTTTTGCTCAACCCATGAGATTTTTCCAACTCATAAATAAGAAAAACACTATCGGGTTTGATAGATTTTATCGTTGCCCTTAGTGATCTGAGATACAAATTGCGAGCTTGTTTTGTTGCTCTTCCTATGGCGAAGAGTCGTGATTAGGTTTTCGATTTTTTTAACTACTACAGCGTTTGCGTGAGCGTTGGCTATAGGAGTAGTCGCTTCTGGAGTTTTTTTACCAGCGTTTTTGCGAGTTGTGACTTTGTCTTTCATATATCCAGACATGGTTTTGATCAAGCGTTTTACGGCTAAGAGTAAGAGTAATCCGACCCCCCCCTTCCTTTCTAGCGCCAAACGGTGGGAATCGAAATTCACCCTTGTCAATTTCCGTAAATAAGGAAACTTAGGAAAACCCTAATTTTCTAGAGGAACCGGATCTCTGTGAGAGCCAACGACAAGTAACCAAATAAATGCGGAAAAATATAAAAAAACATGATAATACGAATTTATAAAGAAAGTCGATCTTATTTCAAATTCGCGTAAGAGCATTGCGATCATTACAGGGAATTACAAAGGCTTTGGCCGCAGTGGCCATCAGCGAGTTACCAACATAAAACCCTAAATCTAGTAAAGTCTCATCTCGATAACGAAAGACAAAAAAAAAAGATAAGAAAAAGGGTTTGGTTGATTTCGGACTGAACCTTATGAAAGGCTGCCTACGTACCCCTTTCGAGGATCAAGTCGAACGTAGTTCAGTTGATTGAGCTGGACAAGAGATCAAACTGTCTGGGCGAGTTCGTCTAGTAATTGAGCGCCAGTCATAGAAACCGAACTTGTCGAGAATAAAGCCTAAGTTTCTAAGTGCGGAAAATTCTAAGTCTAGAAAAGCTGTAAAAGTCTCAGATGAGATCTCTCAAAGTCGTTCTCTGCTTCTGTCCTCTACCTTCTGCTTATATACTCCTCCTTAGGCGGTTTAGTCCTTCCATTTCTCCCAGATTCGAGTTTATCGATAATCTTCCATTTATCTCGATCTTTCCATTTTTCCCGCGGAAATCTTTCTGCAAGTAAATGTTCGATGTTTCGTTTAATCGTTGCTGTTTTCTATAATTTACTCGAGGTTTTACTAAAACGCGTATTTTACGATTCTTCATCAAAAATCTCAAGTTAATCGTATAATTAGGCAATGTTCGGTGTTTTGTTTAACTGTTGCCGTTTCATACGATTTCCTCGAGTTCTTTCAAGAAAACAAGACTTTACGAATTTTATAGTAAAACTTGATCGATAGGACGGATCGAGACGAAACAAGAGATGTTCTGACTGTGGTTCGGAACACGATCGAACCGAAGGACGTTTGCTTCGTGTCGGGAATTCGGAGAGCAGGGCTCAGGACGGTCAGCTCGACGTACGGTGAGCCAAACCGAGTTGGTTCAGTTCAGCGTACGGCGAGCTGCTTGGAAGCGACCAGCTCGCCGTACGGCGAGCTGAACCGGTTGGTTCAGTTCGGCGTACGGCGAGCTGGTTCAGTTGAACCTGCTCGCGTTTTCCGGCGGATGCGGTTTTTTTGCTTAACTCGGGCAATCGTGTAATTGGAGATTGTTTTGTTCGTTTTCCGAGATGACGATTTCCAAGTTTCGCGCGGATTTGCTTTGTCCAGAAAGTCCTTAGAATTTTATAAAACATCTTCTCGTGTTTTATAAAACGTATTTTTATTTTTGCGGAGGTTTTTAGCCATTGATTCCGTTGTGACCGATTTTGACATCAACAAGTGCATAACTGGTGTCCATCCAAATATTATGAATCGTTGGATAACTAATGTGGTGCAGCGTGGTGTTTCAGACCTTAATCTTTACACTAATGTTTCCATCAAGAGTATCAGAGTCTATGTGCATATTTTTCCTGAAGAGATGTTCTTCAGTGTTACACTAGTTAAGCTGAAACTAAGAAGTGAACGCTACGTTTATTGGGATAAGTCTTTCTTACCAATGCTTAAGAGTCTTGATATTGACTCGGACTTGATTCTTTTTTTTGCTGACTTTTTGGAAATTATTCCTTCTTTCCTTGTGCTTGAGGAATTACGAATACATAATCTGGAGTGGGATAAGGCAGATGTAACTGTGTCAAGTGCAAGCCTGAGAAAGCTAAGCCTCCACTGCACTAGCTGTGGAGGCTTGCTAAACCCAAGGAGTGTTTCTTTTGATACTCCGAATCTGCTCTCCTTTGACTACTCTGACTTAGTTGCCGAGGACTATCCATTAGACATTAGTTAATATGGGAAAGTTATTGGAGGCTCGAATCAACCTTATGGCAACTGATGATCATCTCAAGCGACTAAGAGAGTCAAACTATGGTTTATTAATGGCTGATTATGAGGTTCTCAAATTTGGCAATGTGGTGAAGCTTTTTTGTGCCATACAAAATGTTCAGAAACTTTCCTTAAATGCTGATACTCTTAAGGTATGTACTATTCTTTCGTGTTCTGCTTAATTCTGGTCTTAAGTTTTTTTTTTTTTGGTAAGAAATGTAAAGATATTATTACCAAGCTTTTAAGTTTTTGACAGAATTACAAAGGATAACAAGAAGCGGAAAAACGAAAATAAAATCTAAACACATACTCTATTTAGCCAAAACAGGGGCAAACACAACAAACCAAACCATTATCCAGAGACTCAGCTAAGTTAGCACCATCCGCTTGCCGCAAAAGAATGAACCAAGTTCAACCAGAGAGCCGGAACCCGGTAATTTTGGCTTCCCTGATGATCATCTTCTCTTAAAGATAATGACCCACCCGAGAACAGCTCGCTGAGGACTTTAATAGCACCTGCCAACACGAACAAACAACAAGGGAGAGGCCACGCACACCTAAGTCAACTAGACCAAGCAAAAAAAAAAACAAGCTCTGAACTTGCACAAAGACGGGTTTGAGACGGAAGCTGTTCTCGAATCCTTGAGACTCTTATAACCTGCACAAACTGAAAAAGAAACCGCTACCAACACAGTAACAAGCCAATGCCTATACAGGGATGCGATTATCTTAACAAATGGAGCCACCGAGGAACCGAGTACCTGGAGAACAACCCGACTATGCCAGCTCAACGCCATAAGCCTCACTCTGAGAACCAAAGCACAGATCAGAACCAGTGACCGAGATAAGCCCTCTCCGGTGACAAACGAAGAGGAAATAAGGATGAGCCCAAGAGTTAATTGCCTCGGAGGAAGTCGACACTTCCGGAAAAGGAAAAAAGGACACCAAAAACTGGTAGAGAGAGAAGAAGAGAGGACATTTGAGGAGCTTAACTCGCCTAGCCATAGACGACAAGGAAAAACTAAGCTCGACATCATGTCACACGCCAGAACCAGAGACCACGTGCCACCACACAGCAACACACAATCCTGCACGCGCCACCGAGTAGAAGAAACTTTGGTGCACACTTAGACAAAGCGAGTAAACATCCGCCGACCCAAGACTTCACGGAACGACTGCAACATCTACCCCCTCGCCACTCTACTCAACCGCAACAAGAAACCTGGCCACCCACAAGGGGAAACAAGGTTGAAGACACCAGCGCGAAGATCTCGGAAGACACAGAGCAACATGACTCCGCCGCTTGCTTCCGTCAAGGACCAGACCGGAGGAGGAAAATAGATCTGGGCGCGAAACCCTAAAAGCCGACTCCACAATCTAACGCCGTCAACCCACCTCGCCGTGGCTCCAGGGATGGACCTCGTCACCGGATCTGCAATCCTCTCGAGCAGAGCAGGAGGCCGTCGACTAATCCCTCCACCAGAGTCACGAGCATATCGGAAGGAGAGAATAAAAGAGGGTGAAGTTTAAACTAGAAAGGAAAAGAGAAGTGCCTCCGGTACCAGCTCAAGACACCAGCCACCGGAGCTTAACAAGGTTCTTTGAATTTGTGGTCAAGCTCTGTTTTGATTCTTAGAGAGATGGGAGAGGATAAGGAGGGAGAAACTTTACGATCCAAATATTCTTCTGTTGACTTCTTTCATTCTGGTCTTAAGTTGTGAAACATTAAAATCTTGGTTCTTGTTTTCAGGTGCTTTCTCTATGCACTGAATCCATACCAATGTTCAACAACCTCAAATTCTTAGTTGTTTCAAGTGAGGAGGATCGAGGATGGCAAGCTATGCCTGCTGAGAATTTATTATTATACTAGTATTATGGCCATGCTATGCATGGGCAAAATGATTGTCAAAACTATTCATACCATTATACCAAAAATGATTGTTCAACGTGTATCATTATAATTTAGGTTGAAGCATCATTATAATTTAGGTTGTAAGAATAAAAACATGGTTTTTGATTTTCGAAAGATAACTTAAAAAGTTTCTAAATTTATTATCGATGCATACGATAACGAATTCAGAAAACATAGAAACACAATTTGGCCATCAAACTAATAACATACTTTAGTTAGAAATCTATATAGAAGACCAAATACAATAAAAAAGATACATATTTTATAGTGGATGAAAATTAATGTGTGATAATGCCAGATGAGAATATGTGCCTTGTGACTCGAGATTAATAGATTTGTTCCACTTTGATAGGTTCTGCAGCAAGTCATAATTTAAAAAAAAAAATAGACTGTGAAAGGAAAAACATACTCAAATGCTTATATAACAAATAGCATATTCAAAATGATGTGTTACAGATCTGTATTAGACCTTAAAACAAAAGAAATATTAGAAGAGAAAACATACTCAAGTCACTCCAACAAAATCATGCAAAAACTTTTAAATATTATCTTGCACTCTCGAAAACAATAACAATAGCATATTTAGCAATGACTTCTAAATAACTATGGATCTCAAATGCAAAATATCAGTTATAAATAAAAAAGCATGTGAAATAGACGTAATTATACTTTTTATGGTATGAGAACGTAACATACTATTCCTGATTTGTTGTGCTGGTCATTAATGTCAAGCATTGCTTAAAATTGTGTGTGACTTTCTCTACTTTTTGCTGGGTCACTACAAAACAAACCATAATTTAGAAGAGTATCAAATAAAGAATTTAAAACCTAGTTATAACTTATAAGTTTGAAGGAAACGAACCTCACAGTTCTTGAGTTGAAAATTTATTATTTTTCATGGAGTATTATGAACAGTAATACCTTAAATGAAACTGAAAAACAATTCTCAGACAACAGATCGAGAATGTGTTACCGATCAAAAAAAAATGGAAAAGAAATTCTAGAATTACAAATCGACAAACCCCGAAAGTTTCCAAAAAGTCGACAATATAAAGATTACCTGTACGAAACATGGCTGATCTATTTTCCTGCTATTAGATTTTTTATATAATGATGGTTAGTTGAAGATAGTGGTGAAAATGGGTAGCTAGATTTACGGATGATGGAGAAGAAATATAAAATATTATGTTAAAAAAAATACTGTATAAAAAAGGAAATTTAGTGGAATACACATGTTAAAGAAACTCGGTTGAGATAAATTACAAAAAACAAAATTATATTCAAAAATGTTACATAATTTATTTAAAATATGTTTTATTTGGTGAAATCAATGATTTTTAAAATATCTTATATATTAAAACAAAAGTCATGACTTCACTTCATGTGTGATTTTTTAAGTTAGATCATTCATTAAAATGTTTATTAAATATAATTTTGTTATTATTTTATATCCTAACCATAAATTTTGTTCATGTCTATATTACGTAAGTTGCCATTAAAATTTAAACTATTCCTAGGATATAGGTAATGCTAACTTCTTTCCTATTAATAAGTTAACTAGGTTTTGACCCGCACTTCCGAAGCGCGGGTATTGTATCTTTTTCAAATAAGATGAAATTTGCATATGTATGTTTCGATCACATTTATGGATCATATTAACTCTAGAATATTTAATTGTAATGGGGAGTATAGGGAGTTATACTTCTTTTGAGGGCGAGTATATTTTATAATTTCATTTTTTTATAAATTTAATTTTCACATTTGTGTTTCTTTGTAATCTTTGTGTTTTTTGTAATCATATTTATGTAAAATATTTTTTAAATGATTGGTAAGGTGTTTTGACAATTGTATTGAATTTGTGATGTTGCATAATTATATATTCATGCCTAGTGCTAGGAAGCGGGTCAAATCCGTCCCGCTCGACCCTTCATGCAGTGGGTTGTTTTATTTTTTGACTAAATTTTTTAACATTTCTGACCCGCAAAGAAAATATATTTATTTGAACTCACTTACTTAAATTTACAGATAACCCGCATGGTCCGTAGATAATTATTAAATATAATAAATAATTATTTTTTAAAAATATGGTTCACATGTAAAAATAATATAAATAATTATTAAATATATACTTTTAATGTTGATAATTATAGAATTAATTGTCATGTAAAAATAAAAATAAAAATAAAATATTATATAATAGATTGTATAATATTATATACTTAGACTTGGTTAAATTATCATTTTAGTTAGGCCTACTTTACAAACTAAAGCTCATTATAAAGCCATGTTAATACTTGATTAAGAAATTGTTGTCTACAGAAAATTATTTCTATAATTTCACCCTATTGAATTTTAAATTGCTTTCAAGTATGAAGAACTTTTACTCGATAGTCGCCATTATAGATTTTGATAAATAAAAGATGAGATATGGTGTTTTGTGATTGGAAGGTGAAGATGGTTTATATTTATAGCAAAAATCGATGGTTAGAGTAGGTTTAGGATCTTTATAAAATAGCAAGAAAATTTAATATATTTAAAAACAAAAAATGGAACAAATTCGTAAGTAAATATTTAGTATAATAAAGTATTAGAATAAACACTGATAGATTTTCTCAACTAACTTTGGATATATGACCTCTAGTTAAAATTTTTGATACCTTATGAAATTAAGAATAACAGAAAATTGTTTTTGCAAAGGTCCATGAAGTGGACAAACACTGTTTTTGAGGAGGTTTCATTTTACTATGGTTTCATGCAAAGAAAAAAAAATATCTAAAGATATATATACTCACCTGTCATATAAATATCCATATCACTTTCCCAGAGTAACGTTGTTGATGCTGCATATCTATTCTCTCTACAACTTCCTCGTCATTGACATGCTAATGTATTTTCTGTAAGTTTCAAACAGGGAAAATACTTTGCTGCTAGTAACAGTCAATAATAAGCAAAGAAACTAATCGAAAACTACCATTCAGATCTTCTGCAGCATTGAGACTATCTTTTTCAATGAGCTTGAAATTTCAACCTGGCCATCATTAGCTGCAGGAAAAATAAATCAAACACAAAGTAACGTAAATCACATTAAAGTGAAACAAAAAAAATAGTTTCATAGCAGCACATAGGCTCCGATCAAAAAAGAGTTTTACAGCACATATACTAAGATTCCATCATCTAAGAGATTAGATAATCTAATTTCAACTCCCAATATTGATTATCACCTCCCACTAAATCTAGGCTAAGGTTTCACAATAAATTTATCAATCTCTTCAATCATTTGCTATGTCTGGGATAAGAAAATAAATTCAAAAAGAAATCAACTAAAACTCACCAAGGATTTAAACTCAAAGAGATCTGTTGCAAAAGTGAAATGGAAAAAGGATGTTTGCGAGTGAAATCTATCAGACAATGTGTAATGTTTTACAGACTAAGAAGTCACGTTGATTGGGTAGAGTTAACACTTGACACATAGGCGCTAACAGAAATGACTAAGAGAGCAAAGATAAAGGACCGCCAAGATAAGCAATTAATCAACCAGCTTCTATATGCAACTTACAGCGTTTCACATTGCCAACATCTTGATGGTAAGCATCTATGCGCTCGGTGGATGTCAAACATTGCGTTGGCATCATTAAGAACCATGTATTCTTCAAAACCAGACCTTGCAAATCACCAACACCGACCAGATGTCAACAAAACCAAAAGATAGTTCTATGATAAATAAAAAGGAAGATTGAGCACTCATGATTTTGTGATCTAAAAGTGAGAACCCCATCCAACCCATATTAAAACATATCACACCTCTTAACAACAGACGGAGCATAAGACACTACCTTGTTAGTGAATTCAACGTCTCCATATTGAATTCAGAATCACCATTAGAGGTCATTGAAGGGTTTCCTTTCATAATGAAAATAAAGTCGCAAAACCTCGATTGTCGACTTCTCCCAACAGTAAGATAAATCGTCCATAATCACCTCGTACAAATCTCACAACTTGAAAACCTGGATTCGCAAATCTGCAATGATCTCGTGTATATCCCAAATACTTTCAGTTATGCCAAAGTGACGTGTTTATCAAAAATCAAGGAGACATCAAACAAAAAGATTTGCGAATCGGGTAATAAGATTTTGTCCTTTTATTAAAATCGGGTAAAAACCACTTTAATCGGGTAAAACCGTTTTGATATAAAACATATCTTAAAAAATAATGCAGTGGCATTTAGTTGTAAATACTTTCAAAAGAGAAGGGCACCTGAAAAAAGGGCCTTATAGTATAGATTGAAAATCATTTTGCACTTGAATAAATCGTTCATACTATGTAAATCATTATAACAGTGAAACCAGCATATTTACGGTTGTATATGAATCGTAACATATTATATGTGTAAGCTATTTAAACTTGGTTTAGATTATTTTGAAACCATTTTACAATCAATTCCATCTAACCAGGTTTGATAGAGTAAATATTTATTTGAAGGCATGTGTATTATCAATATCGTAAATTGGTTTATAAATGTAACGTATTGACCAAATATTTATGTAACTAATTAATTTGATCATATAAATTTCATTATAATTTTCTTAGACTAATCAACTCCGGCTTACAACCCATTTTCACTTACATTTATAACCTTATGTCTTTTATATGCTGTCAGGGTCTATTACACTCTGTAACAGATAAATGTGGGGATGCTTGTCCCTGCAATGTTCAGGGAGACAAAGAAGGTCGTTCACTCAGGTCTTGTCCAGTGAATAGGTTGGAGAGTAGAGGGTTTCTAGGAACAATGAAAGAGATGGCAATGATAGAGCATTTCTTGGCTTACTTTCCATGTTTGAAGAGTCTGGACGTCTTTATTGAAGAGAATAATCCTACACAGCTGAGGAACCCTCAAGTCTCTAGACGTATCAGTGAGATGCTCAAACTGTACAACAGGTTCTCGCCGAGTTGCAGTGTCA